AATTTTTATATTTTGTATTTCAATTTAATTCTTTAGAAGAATACTTTAAAAAGTAAACTTTTATAAAGTTTTAAATTTGTAGATACAAAATAAAATTGTTACAATACTTTACAGAAAACTAAATATTTAACTGTTATCTTTCGCTATAGAATTCTATACAATAATTATAAAAAAATAACAATTAATTGCCTTCATCATTATTAAGTTCATTTTCATGAAATTCTGGTAAATTATTGGCAATAAACCAATTAGTAAATAAGCTTTTAAAATTTTGAAAGATTTCAATAAAGCCTTGACTTGAACTTAAAGATCTAGCATCAATTCTGCCATCAACTAAATGCCTTATAGCAAATAAGGTTGTATATCGTTTTAACAAATCTAATTTAATATTCTTGCAATTAGTTTATGGTACTATGCTCTTAAAAATTTGATGAACCATTTCTTTAGTGCCAACACCAGTGTTAATAAGATTTCCATATGTACGTGCATGTAATATCAGATGAACATTGATATGTAGATTTGGAAGACTCACAAATTCTTCAAAGACCTAATAATAATAACTTTATTTAATATGCTAGATGCTTCAACCTATTGTTAAACAATTATATAATACAACTAAACCATTAAGTAAATTTATCAAACATATATACTATACAGAAGCCAGAAATATAATGCATAGTAACTACATAGTAACTACATAGTCACTATATCATTACTTTTATATCTATATAATAATAAATATACAGTTATTGTACATTAATATGTTCTGACTTTTGTATTGTATACTAATTACCTGAGTTAATATTTGAACTTCAGTTTCCAAGATTCGTTGAAGATTTATATAATCCTCTTCTGAGTATGAACATTTAAATTATAATTGTGCTAATTTTGCTACTAAAACTCAACATTTTGTTAAAGATTTAGGAACCAAATTAGCATGCTTTGCATTGATTCGTTGTTGAATTTTAGTTAGTTCATTATGCTTTAAATGGCAAGTTTTTAAAAATTAATTAAGAATAAATGACATAATCATCACTAATTGAAGATAGTCAGACATCATGAAGCTTTTACGATGGCTTATTGGATTAGGCAGCTTTCCCCAATATGTTGGATATTCAAAAGATTTTCAAGCTTTAAGAAATGAAATTTGGCCTTCTGGTGAAAATAAATCAACAGTTAAATTTAGAAGACGCATTACTTTGCCAGAAGTCATGTGATAAATATCTTGTGGTGTCTGAAGATGCTAATCCCATATTAATTGGCTTATTACTAAAGCTTTTTTACACAATCCATACTTGGTCATAATTATTTCATGTTCTCTTGCGGTACTAACAGACAAAACTTCGTTAAGTTGCTCTTTTGTAATATAACAATATCTTAATAGCTGTGCAAGATCCAAATTATTATTTGTTAATTGTTCTTTAGAAGCTTGACAAGTTCTACAACCTAATGATATAAATTTTCAATCAGTTGTCATTCAACCATTTTTAATTGATTAGTTGCCAACTACAGCAACTAATTAATTAATTTGATTTCAATTTGTATCACTACTACAACCTTTGTTAGCACCATGGCGTTTTATTCCTGCAAGATCATTTCTTTGTGGAAGATCAGCTGTAACTACTCCAAGGCCAGCAATAATCAAATAATCTTGACCTTGAATATTCATTATTTGACCACATTCTAATAATTTCATTTCTGCAATAAATGGTTTAATAAAATTGGCAAAAGTTCCACCAAAGAGCATAAACCCTAATATAAAATGATTTTTTAGTAATTGCCTTAAAAATATTGGCATGTTGCCAAATTGTAAATATATGCCTCCAAGTGAATGATAAACATTTCTATATGTTCCGAAATCATCATAATAAAGATCTATAAATATTTTTAATACTTGTAGATTCTGATTAGATGATAAAAAAGTCTTTGTATATTCTGAAGGATGTTAATGTTCTAATAAAATACTTCTAATTCTCTAGCGACCATCTAACTTATAAAGAATTTCACTTATATTATGAATAGATTCATAGTTTTTACATAATGAAGTAGTAACACTAGCATAGCCAATGACATCTTGCAATTCAATTAATTTAATCCCTTTACTATCAAGTGAATTATCGATCAATCATATTTCACCTAATTGAGAACAAATTTGTCTATCATTACTTTGAAAATTTTTTGGAAGTTCACAGTATTCAATCGTTTTTTGAACTTTTAATTTCGATGTTTCTTCTGATATAACAATAGCTCGAATTCACCCTAATTTTCTTGTATTCTCATGATAATAAATAAAATCACCAGCATAATAAGTATCTAATTAAAAAAAAATTAGTATTTATTAAATAATTATATAATTATTAAAAAAAATTTACATTTATTAATTGTAATTGATTCTTGGCCAAATAGTGGCAATTCAGCCTACAGATTGCCATGCCAATATTCTGACTTTTTATTAACTTCTTGACCAGGTCCAAAATACATATACTTCATTAAAGAAGGATTATTTAATATATGCCAAATAATATCATTAATAGATAAATAATAGGCTTTTTTAATATTTTTAGAATTTTATGAAGTTTTCTTAGCTGAAATATTAACAGGCTGTAAACAAATTGGCATTAAAGAAAGATTATGTCTCCAGCATCTAAAATGCCTAATATTCTTTACTATATGATTAAGATCAAAGTTATGATTATTCATTATATCAACAAGATCGTCATATGCAGTAGTAGCTAAATAGTACATAGTTTTATTAGTATTAAAATCAAATGCTAAAAATGAAA